GGCTCGCGGTGGGAAGGGGGCGTGCAGCGCTGGCATGCGACCAATATTAGAGGCTTAGCGACGAGAAACACACGGGACAAAGGGGCAGGCGGTCGAACGGTAGAGTGTGTATGTGAGAGAGTAACAAGGAGAGAGACGAGTGACCCCCTGATACAGCCATTCTGCATACAGGTAATTTGACGTAAGCTCGATCACACAGCACGGTGACAGGTACGCTGCTACGACACAGCTAAGTGACAACTTGGGGACAGGCATTGGCACAGGTCACACGCTGTCCCATGCTACTGCGACACACGTGGGTGACAAGTTGTAACCATACACTGATAGACACGGCTCGCACGGGACCACAGGCCAAGTGCGTACAGGGAAGAAAGTAATCTCATCACACACAGCACGCTGAAGGTACCGTCAAGCGTACTGCCCCGGACACCGCAAGTAACGTACAGGTAAGTTACGTAATCATAACACGCACGGTGACAGGTACGCTGCCCACTGCTGGCCACGCACACAGCAAGTGACGTACAGGTAAGTACGTAATCTCATAACACAGCACGGTGACAGTACGCTGCCCCACGTGCTGCCACGACACAGCAAGTGACGTACAGCCGTAAGTACGTAATTCTGCATTAACACCATGCACGGTGACAGGTACGGTGCCAGTGCTGCCACGACACAAGCCAAGTGACGTACAGGTAAGAACGTAATCTCATCAACACAGCACAATGACAGGTACGGCGACACTGTCCACCTGCTGCCACGACACAGCCAAGTGACGTACAGGTAAGAACGTAATCTCATTAACACTCAGCACTGGGGGCAGGTACGTGCCCACCTGCTCCAAGGACCAGCAAGTGACGTAAAGTAAGAACGTAATCGCATCAACACAGACGGTGACAGGTACGCTCGCCCCGTACGTGCCACGACACAGCGAGGGACGTACAGGTAAGAACCGTCAATCTCATCACACAGCACTGTGACAGCGTTGAGCTGTTCCACATGCCTGCCCCGACACAGCAGCAAGTGAATCGTACAAGCGTAGAACGTAATCGTCATCAATACAGCACGGTGGAAGGCACCGCTGTCCCGTACGCTCCAGCGAACAGCCAAGTGACGTACAGGTAAGCAACGTTACGTAATCTCATTAACACAGCACGGTGACAGGCATTGTCACATGCTGTCCCATGATACTGCGATACAGTTAGGTGACAAGTTGTTGTTAGATGACAGCACATGCTGTGACGACACAGCTAGTTGTCACATGATGTCGCATATTGTCACGGCACTGCTACGTGACAGATTATGGTACATTGTGTCACATGCTGTAACGACACATCTCGGTGACAATTTGGTGACAGGCACTGATGTAATTGTACAGCTACGTAATAGCTAGGAGAGAGGCACTGGCACAGACTGTCATATTGAAGCTTGGTTACAGTTCCGTTACAAGCCACACAGCTAGTTGGTGGCTATGTGAGACACACACTGTCTGTCCCATACCGTCACATGCTGAAACGACAAACCTAGGTATGAAATATGCGCCAGACATTATCACATATTGTCACATTATGACGGCACATCTAGGCGTCAAGTCGGCGACAGGCAGGCACATGTCGCACGCTTTCGTAACAATTTTATGGCAGACACCCTAACCTTAAAGGGCCGAACACACTAGGCGATTAAATCGGGCGACAAAATCGCCGTGAAATCGCCTAGTGTGTCCAATCAATCGCCGCCGATTTAGTCGCCCGATTTCGTCGCCCGATTTAATCGCATAGATCAAAACGTTTTGATATTATCGGGCGATTGTGTCGCCCGATTTTGTCGCCCGATTTTGTCGCCCGATTTCATCGCCTAGTGTGTCCGGGACCGGCGATAAAATCGCCCGATTGTGCAATTCATCAGCCAATCAGAGTTGTTCAATGATACTGACGTAATAGCGATGTTTTATGTTTAGTATGTCATGTCATGTAATAGCGATGCACGCACGCACGCACGCACGCACGCACGCACGCACGCACGCACACACACACACACACACACACGAAACGCGTGACAGCGGTGTCATCGGACCCCGGCGCAGCAGCTGCACCCGCACGCGACGCATGAATCCCTCCCCACCTCCCCCTCTCTCTCATGCGCGTTCACTCCCCACCTCCCCCTCTCTCTCATGCGCGTTCACTCTCGCTCTCGCGTGCGCCCGAATGTGTCGCATCTCGTCGCATGTGTCGTGTGTGTGTGTGAAGGGGAAGCGCGTGTGAAGGGGCGTGCAGCTGGCATGCGGACCAATATAGAGCGGCTAGCCGACGAGAAACACAGGACAAAGGCAGCGTCGACGTAGTGTGTATGTGAGAGAGACAGAGAGAGACGAGTGACCCCCTGATAGCATCGCATACAGGTAAGAACGTAAGCTCATCAACACAGCACGGTGACAGGTACGCTGTCCACCTGCTGCCACGACACAGCCAAGTGACGTACAGGTAAGAACGTAATCTCATTAACACAGCACGGTGACAGGTACGCTGTCCACGTGCTGCCACGACACAGCCAAGTGACGTACAGGTAAGTACGTAATCTCATCAACACAGCACGATGACAGGTACGCTGCCCACGTGCTGCCACGACAGCCAAGTGACGTACAGGTAAGTACGTAATCTCATTAACACAGCACGGTG